GTAAAGTCAGAATCTGATTGAACTAATTTAAGTCAGTGACTAAAGAATTCTCTCCATGCTTAACCAGTCCCTGCCCCACCCTGCCACTAGGCTCCTGCTGTGGAAATCAATCAGCTGTGTAGCTCAAGCTACTTCCTGTAGGGTGTGTTATGGAATGGCATCAGCCCCTGTACCAGCTGGGAGTACTGATCTCAGTGTGATTTTATCAGGCTATTTCTTCTGAGCCTCACTGTTTAGAACAAAGGATCCTCTGTTAGGAAGACAGAGAGCTGGTGCTATTGGACAAGTCCACATGTACATACATAGTTCCCATGGAAAAAACAGGCATAAATTATTCTGTAGCCTTCTAAAACTTGGGTCTCCAAGGTGAATTTCCTGAGCTTCTATCTATATTGGCCCTTCTTTCTGTGAGTGTTTACCTTCCCCCAAATCAAGGCAGGAACCATCTGGTCTGATCAATTAAATGGTTGGCATCCTTCGGAACTGGTCTATTTCTGTGCCTCAGTCTTTTTCTTCTTCAGTCTTGGATTACATATTTAGTTCCCACTGTCTTTCCAGTCTTGTTTCCTATATAGACCATCCACCTCTATCCACTTACCCGGAACTCCTATATATTTACCTATTTGATTTCTACTCATACCTGAAGGTATAGCTCAAGTTCAACCTCATTACAAAGCTTTCCTGATCTCGCCAGCACACTCCTTCTCTGGATCATCTGAATCATTTAATATATATATAACTCATTTGGCCCTTACATACTGCCTAATTTGGGCATTTTTTGTTTGTCCATTCTTTTTCTCAATGAATGTGTTTATCTGTCCCACGTCGTAAATTGCATATTAGTATATATACGTAATTGAAGACTAGTGAATATTTGACTGATTGAATGAAAGCTCTTTATTTCTTATAAGCCATGTGAGCTCTAGGATTCAAAATGTGATCTGTCTCCTCTGCCTATCTAGAGATATATTCTTGTGTGTCCTGGAGAAATCAGCCTGGTTTCCTCACCTCTCCATCTTCTCTCTGGGCTCCCTTTCTTCTCTATTACTTAGCATATGTTAAGGGCACACAATTTCATTTCAGTATTAGCCCACACAGCAGAACTAATAAAGAAATTTGCTACTTCATATGTGCTTGAAGAGAGTCAGATTCTGAGAAATTTCTTTTGTAGTTACCTATCACTTTATAGCCATTGTCATTTATACAATTAGCTGACTTTATTCAGCCTGGTGTAGTTTTAAAAATAGAACCAAGTCCAAGTCAGAAATATCCTACCTCTGTCATTTACAAACTGAGTGACCTTGCAAAAAGTTACTTAAGCTGGGTATCCTGGTTACTTTAACTATAAAATGTGAACAGTGGTAAATCATACCCTTAGGAGTTTTTGAAAATTAAATGATGTTATCAAGATAGACAAAAGCATTAGGCTTATATTATCAATAAATTATATCCTTTTTAAAAAAAAGTTTATTCAGACATACAAATTAGAATATTGTGAAAAATTTAAAATAAGAACAATTATCCCTTTTTTTAATTTTTTTTATTGTTTTATTCATATGTGCATACAAGGCTTGGGTCATTTCTCCCCCTTGCCCCCACCCCCTCCCTTACCACCCCACTTCGTCCCCTCCCTCTCCCCCCCACCCCCTCAGTACCCAGCAGAAACTATTGTACCCTTATCTCTAATTTTGTTGAAGAGAGAGTATAAGCAATAATAGGAAGGAACAAGTGTTTTTGCTGGTTGAGATAAGGATAGCTATACAGGGAGCTGACTCACATTAATTTCCTGTGCATGTCTGTTACCTTCTAGGTTAATTCTTCTTGATCTAACCTTTTCTCTAGTTCCTGGTCCCCTTCTATTGGCCTCAATTGCTTTTAAGGTATCTGCTTTAGTTTCTCTGTGTTAAGGGCAACATCTGCTAGCTAATTTTTTAGGTGTCTTACCTATCCTCACCCCTCCCTTGTGTGCTCTCGCTTTTATCATGTGCTCAAAGTCCAATCCCATTGTTGTGTTGCCCTTGATCTAATGTCCACATATGAGGGAGAACATACGATTTTTGGTCTTTTGGGCCAGGCTAACTTCACTCAGAATGATGCTCTCCAATTCCATCCATTTACCAGCGAATGATAACATTTCATTCTTCTTCATGGCTGCATAAAATTCCATTGTGTATAGATACCACATTTTCTTAATCCATTCGTCAGTGGTGGGGCATCTTGGCTGTTTCCATAACTTGGCTATTGTGAATAGTGCTACAATAAACATGGGTGTGCAGGTGCCTCTGGAGTTACCTGTGTCACAGTCTTTTGGGTATATCCCCAAGAGTGGTATTGCTGGATCAAATGGTAGATTAATGTTTAGCTTTTTAAGTAGCCTCCAAATTTTTTTCCAGAGTGGTTGTACTAGTTTACATTCCCACCAACAGTGTATATGAGGGTTCCTTTTTCCCCCCGCATCCTTGCCAACACCTGTTGGTGGTGGTGTTGCTAGTGATGGCTATTTTAACAGGGGTGAGGTGGAATCTTAGTGTGGTTTTAATTTGCATTTCCTTTATTGCTAGAGATGGTGAGCATTCTCTCATGTGTTTTTTGGCCATTAGAATTTCTTCTTTTGAGAAAGTTCTGTTTAGTTCACTTGCCCATTTCTTTATTGGTTCATTAGTTTTGGGAGAATTTAGTTTTTTAAGTTCCCTATATATTCTGGTTATCAGTCCTTTGTCTGATGTGTAGCTGGCAAATATTTTCTCCCACTCTGTGGGTGTTCTCTTCAGTTTAGAAACCATTTCTTTTGATGAACAGAAGCTTTTTAGCTTTATGAGGTCCCATTTATCTATGCTATCTCTTAGTTGCTGTGCTGCTGGGATTTCGTTGAGAAAGTTCTTACCTATACCTACTAACTCCAGAGTATTTCCTACTCTTTCCTGTATCAACTTAAGAGTTTGGGGTCTGATATTAAGATCCTTGATCCATTTTGAGTTAATCTTGGTATAGGGTGATATACATAGATCTAGTTTCAGTTTTTTGCAGACTGCTAACCAGTTTTCCCAGCAGTTTTTGTTGAAGAGGCTGCTGTTTCTCCATCGTATATTTTTAGCTCCTTTGTCAAAAGACAAGTTGGTTATAGTTGTGTGGCTTCATATCTGGGTCCTCTATTCTGTTCCACTGGTCTTCATGTCTGTTTTTGTGCCAGTACCATGCTGTTTTTATTGTTATTGCTTTGTAATATAGTTTGAAGTCAGGTATTGTGATACCTCCAGCATTGTTCTTTTGACTGAGTATTGCCTTGGCTATTTGTGGCCTCTTGTGTTTCCATATAAATTTCACGGTAGATTTGGTCTTTTGACAGAGTCGGTGAGTTCTTGCATTTTCTTTTCACAGGTCTTGAGTTGTTTAATTAATATTCAGTTTTTCCTTTAATTACCCTTCATTTTCAAGTTCTGAGATTCTGTCTTCTCTTTGTTCTGTTCTGCTGGATTGGCCTTCTGTTTTGTTTTGCAGTTCTTTTTCGTTCTTTTTTCTGAGGTTTTTCCATATCCTGGGTGGTTTCCTCTTTAATGTTGTCTATTTTTGTCCTGAGTTCATTTATTTGTTTATTAATCATGTTCTCTGTTTCACTTTGGTGTTTATACAGTGCTTCTATGGTTTCCTTTATTTCTTCTTTTGCTTTTTCAAATTCTCTATTTTTGTTGTCTTGGAATTTCTTGAGTGTCTCCTGTACATTTTGGTTGACCATATCCAGTATCATCTCTATAAAATTCTCATTGAGTACCTGTAGTATGTCTTCTTTTAAATTATTCTTGTGGGCTTCATTGGGTTCTTTGGCATAGTTTATCTTCATTTTGTTGGAGTCTGGATCTGAGTATCTGTTTTCTTCATTCCCCTCTGGTTCCTGTACTAATTTTTTGCTGCTGGGAAACTGGTTTCCCTGTTTTTTCTGTCTTCCCGT